ATGCTGTGCCAGATGGTCTTTTCTTCCTGTGTCTTCTGTACTCAACGAAGGGGCTGGGGGCGGGCGGGAGGGGGTGGGGGGGCATGAAGACTGATGGAGAAGGCTGGAGTCAGATTTACCAGGGAATTTCCTACAATTTTTAAAGCTTTAAAGGCCCAATGCCAAGAAGCTTGTCTCCTAAGACTTTCCAAACTCAGATGGTGCAATCTCCTTAGGTCAAATACTGCAAGCTAAGCCTGGGAACCTCTTTCTCCAACCCACCCTTACCATCTAGGATTCTGACTGCTTCCCCTGTAAATAAATACATACATGAGTAGAGGCCGGAAACAGCAGTGTCTCAGGCTGACAACTGACTGTTCATTGATGTCAAAGGTCAAGGCCTCCTGGGCATCAGTCCTCAACGTGAGCAGGATGAAGAAAGACGGGACAGAAAGTCAGACCATCTTGTGGCCATCCTCACTTACCCGTAGCAGGTTTCTAGGCCTGTGAAAACCCCTCCCACGAGACCTTCCCTTTTCTTGCCTTCTACACCTGGTGTGTTCCTCTCTCACACCCAGGCACCACTCCTGGCAAGAGTCTCCCACAGCACTGCTGGCACCCACAGGGAGCAAAGTGCCATTTCTCTCCATCCTCCTCAGTTCATCACCCTTCACTTCTGAAGACATTCAGGGAACTGCAGAACTGAACCAAGCTCTGGCCACAGGAAAGTCTGCCCCAAAACTAGTTTACCTCTCATCACTCACTAGCAAAGTCACCATCTTCACGAGAAGAGAAAAAAAAAAGTTTTATATCTAGGTTTTGTGTGCCTAAGCACATAATGTTATACTTGGAGCCACACAGGGGCTAATTTTGGTCCCCTTCAAGCACAGAAAAGTGGAGCTTCTTGTCTAAGATGAGAGCCGCTGCTGAGTGACAAATCTCTGTCCCAGCCTGCTTCTATATGCCTTTCCGCTGCAGAGCCGTGGCATGGTCTCACACACGTGGCCACACACAGTAATTCAGATCCCCTGAGTCACGGATTCCCACATCCCACTGTTTCTGTGATAAGCCAAGAGCTCCTCACTTATCACAAGTCTTGTGAACTTTAAAAAAACTTCTCAAAGCAAGAATTAAAAAACAAAAAAAAAAAGTCTTGTCCTACCTTTGGGAACAAAGTGGTATGAAATCCCCCTTACCACAATGTGCAAAAATTGTGAAAAGGTGGGGAGGTTTTGGACGTGTGATTTCTCTAATGAGTGTTTAGGAAAAGGGAGGGGAGGGAAAAAGATCACTGCATTAAACGGTAACTTTTTAACGATGACAATGGGGTCTGGGATTGGAATGGGGACTATGGCTGGAGAATTAGGAAACCAGAGTTTCTGCTCTTATCTCCCTATGTCATCTGGAATAAAATGGGAGCTCAAAGTGTAACATTAAACTAATGAGTCACCTTGAACAAGTCACTTAACTACAATGGACCTATTTCCTTATCATGTATTTAGAAGGACTGAGCTGAAAATTTCATAATCTCTTCAACCTCTAATGACTTAAAGAATGTCAGAATCTCTTCTAATGTAACTTTCAATGATAACTCAGGCAACCTCAATTAGAAGCATAAAATGAAAACTGCTTGGGCAAGACAAGTGAAACGAGGAAAAAGGCTAGGGGCTCAGATTATCACAGAAGTTAAAAAATTCAGTGGGTACTCTGTTTATAGTTTCAATCAAATCAATCAATAAGCACCTATCAGCATGTGGCCCTATATGAGGTACCATGTAGATAATTTGAAACAGAATCCCAGACCTTGAGAAGTTTCCCAGTTAGTGTTGATTAATTATGTGTTTATTGGGTGCTTACTATGTGCCTGGCACTGTGCTAGATTCTGGAAAATACCAAAGTATGGAGTGGGGCTCCTCCTAAAGGTATTTACAGTACAAGTGGAAACTGAGTGCATTCACAAACAGAGACCAAGAGACCAAGAGACCAAGGTAGTATTTACTACCATGCAGTTTTCCACACCGTTACGTACTGCCTTGATGTCTCCTAGGAATCCAGAAAAGAGAGGGATTTGCTAGGGCTAGAACAGCCCTGGGAAACTCATGCTTGCTAGAAAAGAAATGGACAAGATGTGGAGGCATAGGCAGTATATGCCCATGAGGAGCATTTTCAGATACATTTATTTGTTTCCTGGAAATACTCTGTGTTCCTGAATTCTCACTCCCTCACAAAGTGACTTTTATATACAGAATGGAGGCACCAGCTCACATTTTCAATAACATAAATTAAGCTACCCTATAATACTCTTAAAATAGGAAACTCAGAGTCAAGATCAACACCTACGTAAAAATAAAATGTAATCCTTTGGAAAATACATTGCTAAATCATAGCTATATAAAATCTTTAGGCTAACCAGATCAGTTATTTTAGCTATTAATCAGAATGTATACTCAAGTTAACAAAATCATGATTATAAGAAATGCAGAACAGGTTATTTCAATCAAATAGGGTCATGTATTCAAAACTACAATCAGAAAACACCTCTGTGTTTTCAAGCCTTTTTTTTTTTAATACTCGGCAATTTGTGACTTCCTGTCTTAAAAAAATAACCATTAGGAATGCGTTTGCATGACCTGGGAAGACTTCTTGGCCGTCAGATGTTTGCTGTGGATAGTATTTTAACAAGGGAAGTTTCAGCCAATCAGGAACATAAATGATAATGTTATACCTGACTAAGGAAGTTAAAACAGTCTTTGGGAAATTTCATGGAGCCAGTTACAAGTCACTGGAGAACATCATCTGATTCATATAGTCAAACTAACATTATCTATTATCATCCAAAAAAATTCCCTGAAAAAGAGATTCTAACCATCAGTTCATAGTGTCACTCGCTTTCTCTCTCTGACCTGTTTCATGTTGATAAAATGGACATTGTAACACCAAGTTCTCATAGCAAGTTGAGTTTAGGGAAACAAATCGCAAGAGGCTCTTGATAGAGCACGAACTGTGGGTTGAAAGAAGGTGGGTGGGAGATGGGCTAGATGGGTGATAGGTACTAAGGAGAGCACTTGTTGAATCACAGAATTCAACTCCTGAAACCAATACTGCACTGTATGTTAACTAACTAAAATTTAAATTAAATAGATAAATAAATAAATAAATAAATAAATAAAAATAAAAGTTTTCAGGAAAGAAAGAAAGAAAGAAAGAAAGAAAGAAAGAAAGAAAGAAAGAAAAAGAAAATTGAGTTTAGCTTACAGCAAGTTCAATTCTCAATTCATGCAAAATAATAGCAATAATAAAAGTTTCTTAATTTACATTTTACACATTATTTAATACATCCTTCCATTTGATGAGGTAGAAATGGCTTATTCTTATGCCCATTATATAGATGGGGGAATTGAGACTAAGAAAAATTAAAATGAACATAGCGTAGAAAGGAGGTCTTCTGCCTTCTGATCCAATGACCAGGTCTCTCCCAAGATATTAGGTTCAACCCTGGCCAAAACACCCAGCGATTCTGTAACAACCCTCAACTATTGTAACCATCCTTACAAATGAAATGGCTTAATATGTTTGATCCTAGCAAGTCACATGACTATTCTGACCCTCATATTCCTTAATCGTTTTAGCACAGCACATGCACATTTAATTAGAGGTGCTACAAAGTCCCTTTTAAGTCTAATGAATCATGGATGGATTAGTAGTGCAGCTTAAAGACCACCAGGTCAAACAACAGCAACTCAACCATGATAAGTTGAGTTGATTGACATATGTAGAAAATGCCTCACTCATGTGCATTTTGACTTAATATCAAAACCAGACATTATTAAAACATATTTCACAATCTTCCAGGTGATTTTCATCTCCACTTAACTAATAATTTGGGGGAACAATTCATTAGTACAGTGACCAGAGCACATTTATTCCTGGGGCTCCACTACTTACCATGAGTGGGGTCTTGGAAAGTCACTTCATTTCAGGGAGGCTCCGTTTCCTT